TGCCTTTCTTTTTTAAAAAAAAATATATTTTATTGATTTTTTATAGAGAGGAAGGGAGAGGGATAGAGAGTTAGAAACATCGATGAGAGAGAAACATTGATCAGCTGCCTCCTGCACACCCCCTACTGGGGATGTGCCTGCAACCAAGGTACATGCCCTTGACTGGAATCGAACCTGGGACTCTTCAGTCCACAGGACAACGCTCTATCCACTGAGCCAAACCGGTTAGGGCCAAGTTGTGCCTTTCAAACAAGAGACTTTCACAACTTTCTATTGGAAGATTATAACATACCTGTGGTTTGTTCTGACACAGTTTCAAGTTTTAGACTAAAGTTTCCACATAATTTCACTACCTCTATTAGTTTCACTTTTTTTTACCACATTAAGTAAATTCCTATTTTTTCAGTAGTACAAATGAGGCAGAATAGTAAAAAGTAGGAAAATTCCTTGGTCAGTAGAATGGGGAAACTGAGACAGATAGCTGATTCCCATCCCACACCCTGACCCACCGGCCTCCTACTCCGCTGTACGACCACTCCCTTAGGCATTAAACCCTTAGGACAATGAGGTTCTGATCAGCATCAAACAATATTAGAAACAAAGCTTCGGTCTGTTGACCAAAGAGACAGTGTTTTTGTTAAACTAGAGATGATATCTAGGCCTCAGTTGTGTTTCAGCTCCTGGCCCAGAAAAGCAGCAAAACCAGACGAAGTCACGGCTTGGCTAACATCAGGACCAGATGCAATGAATAATGACCCCCTACCCAAGTGCCCATCAATCAGTAGAGAGCACCACCCTGAAAGGCCACACCTGGAAAGCTGATGAATATTCTACTGAGAATCTCCCCTGAGACCTTACTACACACCTGGGCTCTGTAGAGAAGAAAAATAATTTTCTCTCTTCTGGGTTCTTGACTGAGCCATCCAGGAAATAATCCTTATGCCAGATTAGAAAGAGAAAAACAAAAATCTAATAACATGTAAACCTCCTACATATATGAGAGAGACCCAGAAAAACAGAGTAATTCACAAAAATGGCTAAAGCAACGACCTTAACTATCATCTTCAGCTGAGGACAAAAGATAATGTTGGAGTGGGGGATTCCATTAAGGAAAGTTACTAGGGAAAGCACAGTGTAACAAGGTTGTTATGCAGATTTAAGTTGTTGCCTGATGCACTGATGAGAATTTCTAGAGATAAGGTCACTCCCCTCTTCCTGGTCTAGTGAGGGAGACACCTTTACAAAAGCAGATTTTAGAAAGGTAACTTATTTGGTTTTCAGACCTCTCCTATTTTCTTTCTTTTATTTCTTTCTTCGTCCATCTTTCTGTTTTTGCTTTGAAATATATATTTGTCTTTTTAGTATATTTTTCTATCACTATTTATCCCCTCCATGCCCTCTTCCGCCTCCACCCAACCCCTCCCCACTGAAATCACCACACTGTTGTCCATGTCCATGAGTTCTCTGTCTACTCTTTCTTAAATTAACCAACCTAAAATAATCCTATGCCAAATAGACATGTTTGGGGGTGACAAATTCTGTGCCCCTACAACTCCTGGGCTATAAACCTGTACAGCATGTTACTGTGCTGCATACTGTAGGCAATTGCAATCTGCGTGATGCATTGCACTATGAGTTACAATGGCTACGATATCACTAGGCAATAGGACTTTTTCATCTCCATTACAATCTTATGGGATCACCATTGTCTATGCGGTATACTAAAACATCATTATGTGGCATATGACTGTATATAACTCCTACTGTATATAGCAGGCACTGTTCCTCACAACCTCTTTAAGAGATATCCTATATAATAAAAGGCTAATATGCAAATTGTCCCCTTGACCGGGAGTTTGACCAGGGGGCAAGGGCCAGCTGGTCAACCGCCCACGGCCCCTCCCCTTGGCCATCCTGCCCCCACTCCTGATGGCCCCCTGCCCCCATCGGGGTGGACCAGCTGGACCCCACCCATGCACGAATTAGTGCACTGGGCCTTTAGTAGTGTTATAATACCCATTTTACAGATGAGGAAATTGAGGCATAGAGGATTAGATAATTTACTTAAGGTCACACAGTAAGTATTGGTGCCAGGATTCAAACATGGGCATCTGACTCCACGGTTTCTGTTTGTGGAGTTCAATACTACCTATCTAACACTATAGAGTTAACATATGGAGCAACCACTGTAAGTGAATTTGAAATAAGAATGCCTTCAGAGTTAAAGGAGTAATTGAGATTGGTCTCAACCAAAGGTCTGCTAAGTCACCTTAAGGAGACTGAAAGACTGACAGGACAGTAAACTCCTTGACAGCCACATAAAGGTATTACCTACCTAGAGAGGCAGTCTGTTAGTCTTGGGTGGACACTGGTGAGCCATGGGAGCCTGGAAAAGGCAGTGCCCACAGTCAGGAGCTAGCATGCCAGGCGAGCACTGCCAGTGGAGGAGCTGATGGAAGTGGCGAGTCCTACTGGGAGGCAGACGAATCAGACCTCCATCTTTGAATCCCTCATATTATCTGTCCCATGCAGTTTGAGTATAAGAACATGCCTGGAGCAGGCTATGCAAATATCCAATCTGCTAAAAATTAACTGGTATTTTAGTGAGTAGACTTGTGTGTTTATCAGGGTGAAATCAGCTTCCTTGTATCCTATAAGCTCTGGAGCACTGGAAAGAATGGATTTCTGGAGTCTAGCCCTGCAAGTGCGAGGGCCAGATTTGGAACCAGTTTTACCAAGGCTCATGCCATCTTACAAGTCTCTTGGCAACCAACCCATCCCTTTCCCTAGTGATAACCTGACTTCACTATACAAACAGCTTAGAAAAATTATCCAAGACATTAAAAACAAATATGGAGCATTTCAGTCTGGAAAGATGAAGTCACCACTATTATACATCTAAAATCTCTAATAGTTTGAGAGAGAGCGAGAGCTAGAATGAACGTGCAATTGCTTGCCAATTTCTAGAAGAATGAAAGTACAAAGTAGTCTTTAAAAATTAAAGAGGTTGTTTGTGGATAAATAGGTGCATCTTAGTGGATATAAAATCCAAGGGGATAAAAATCCATTCCCTTGAGTATTTATCGTGAACTCACTAAATTCAAAGTACTGAGCAGGGCACTTCAGAGAAAACATGAAAAGCAAGTGGTGGCAAAGACCTGTTCTCTGTCCTCAGTTGCTGGAAATCTAGAAGGTAAGACAAAGCGCCAAAAACCTGCCTTGGAAAACTGGTGAATGGGGTGAAACAAAGGAAATAGAGATCACATCTCTTGAAACAGCCAGCGTGGCCATCACCAGCTGTCCTGCGACGCCATGTTAAGAAGTCTGTCTGTATGGCCGGCACAGGGCTGGCAGGATGACTAGTAGCAGAAATGCCCTCGCTCTCCACCTTGACTCCCAACCCACCTGGCATGGAGTCAGCTTATCTATCATTTGGGGAACTCAGTTTAAGAAGCAGTTGCTTGCCAGGCGATATCTTCTTGAATAAACAGTGTCCCATCTTCAGAAAAATAATGTCTCCACCTTCTCACTCCTCAGGCTGCCCCGCCTCCCATCTACAGAAATATTTAAAAACAATCCAAACAATCCAAAAGAACAGAAAAGGGAGGAAAGTTTCAGCCAGTGTCCAAAGCACAAAAACCCTTTCCATGTCTGGGGCACTCTAGCCCATCCCGGGAACGTGTGAATGAACAGTCTCCCTGTGCTAAGAGGTGATGTCCCAGAGAGCTCCAGGGAAAGAACAGAATGTGGAAGTAAATCTAGAGCCAGGAGCCTGGGGGTGCATCACTTCCTATCTCAGAAGCCTGGGCAGCTTAACAGACTGGGAAAATTTAATAGTAGTAAGTGGGCAAGTTGTGAAAACAAAGGTCTTGATTTCTGATGGAAGGCAATCAGTACACTCATTTGGGAAGGGGTATGCACTCCTAAACGCCACCCTCTTCTTACCCAAGGTCAGCGCAGAAAAGGGATTATGAAATAAAGCAAAATTAATCCTCTCTTTATATTACTTTTGAAGTCTTTCAAGTTTCTTTAGTTAGTATTGATCTTATTCATTGGGAGTGAAAGTGACAAATCCAAGGTTGGTTTTGTTTTGTTTTGTTTTGTTTTGCAAAAGGTACAGATAATTGCCAATACCTGTAGGGGATAAAACCTGTTTTACTAAGAGGGGAGTAGTTAAGTAAATGCCCTTGGTCGTTTCAGCTCTGCCTTCCCATGCTGTGTATCTTTAAGCAAATTACTTAATTTTTCTCTTAATTTCAATTTGTCTCATCTGTAGCATGGGGATAATAATCCTATTTAGATTATTGACAATTAAGGGGGGAGGGGCGGGGGAAAGACAGCCCGGAATCGTACCTCTCTGAGGTGAATACATATATTTAGATGTCCTTTGGCTGGCGTTCTGAGGACCAGCCGGGCTCAGCAAGCCGAGTCGTGCAGGAGTGAACCGATTTGTCTGCCAAGAACTCTGGCCAACACTTTTTACGTTCTCAGGAGCACACACCCTAGTGCTTCTCCCGGGCCGGCTCGG